TCTAGTGGTTTATTGGAGATAAGAGTCTCATGGACTTTCCTGCCTGGGCTGGCTTTGAACTGTGATCCTCAGATCTCAGCCTCCTGAGTAGCTAGGATTTCAGGTGAGAGCCATAGGCACCCGGCTATTGTGAATTTCTATAGATGGATATAATGTACTTTGCCTACATTCATCCCCTGGGGAGTTGGATTTTATCCTGGGGAGGAAACAGGGAGTCAATGAGGAATTTGAAGGGAAAAGATATCTGCATTTTGAAACAGCTCTACAGCAAATAATACGGAAAACAGATGGGCAAGGGAGATGGGAAACGTGGGAGGAGGCTGGCAGCTGGGGCTCTCACTCTGGGGAGTAATAACTAGGACTGACCCTGGAACAGTGGTCACAGAGGAGGAGTCAGGAGAAGGAGTTGAGAAGTACTCTGGCAATGGAAATAGTTGCTAGCCAGTGGCTGGATGAGGGTGGTGGGGAGGAGCCAGGTGTTAGGCCTGGATTCCTGGTCTACGGGACTGGGTGGGAGGTGTTCTGAGATCAATGGACTCATGAGCCTGTGGAATGCTGGCGAGGTCTGGGCAGGGTGTGCAGGTATCCTGAGTAGGGAGGGAGAGTGATCAGGGAGATGGCAGGGCAGATAGAGGAGACAGTGTCCTGGGTGGACCTCACAATGCCTCTGTGCACTCCTCTGTGGTGGGTCTCAGCTTGTAGCACCCTGGCTCCTACCTCCCTCCTGGCCTAGGGCAGGCTGGGTCCCACTTGTCCAGCCCAATGGTCATACCTTTGCCCCCAACTCATTGCAGCTCTCCCTGAATCTGAACCACTGGCCATACCTGCCTTTCCAAGCCCCTCTCTGCTAGGATATACTGCCAACTTCCTGGCTTTCTTTTTTTCGTCTATGTGTCTACTGGGCTCTCTTGCTGCTAACACTGGCCCCCACAGGTCCATCTGACAAGCATTTACTCATTCTCTACTTACCTCAAAAGCTTCCTCTTTCAGGGAGCCTTTCTTGGCCCTACCCCTTTTACTCCCTGTGGACACTGGCTCTTCTCTTCTCTAAGCTTCCCGAGCCCCCTGTGCATGAATGCTATTCACTCTTGTATTCTTGGTACTTAGAGATAAGTATTGTAAATGTATATTTGATAGATGGGCACAAATGGTACCAACAGACAGGATCACACAGGTGGATACCCACGTGGAGATGGGTAAATGTGTACACACTGACTCATACTTAAGAGATAGAAGGATACACAGGCACACACTTGGAGATAATGAAAGGTCTTCCTGAAAAAAACCTATAAACACACAGATGTGTGCACTGGTACCAGCAAACATATGACCACATGCACACTGTCAATTCTCAGGCCACGCAGACGCTCATCCATACTCAGGCAGCCACACGTCCCAGCAAGCCCACGGCCTCCTCACCGTCTCTGGCCGCTTCTTGTCACTGAGCTCACTCCGGTCGAAGCACTGGCTCATAATGGGATTCTTCGAGCTGCACATGGTCTGCGAGGTAGAGCAGGGGGAAAGGGAGATTCTTGATGGTACACAGGGCAGATAGGACAGACTCCTAGGCAGAGGTGTATACTGAGCTGTGGGCGCCTCACCCGCACCAGAACCTCCTTTGAGTCCTTACCTCCTTCAGGTTCCGGAAGAGAAGGTCATTGTTTTTATCCAGAAACCCTGGTAGGGGAGAACAGACAGGAGGTGAAGGAAGCAGAGGCTGGGTACTTGGTAGCTCATAACTGTAATCCTAGGTACTCAGGAGGTTGAGATCTGGGGATCATGGTTTGAAGTCAGCCAGGGCTGAAAGGTCCGTGAGATTCTTATCTCCAATGAACCAGCAAAAAGCTGGAAGTGGAGGTGTAGCTCAAGTGGTAGATCACTGCCTACTAAAAACAAAGCCAGTTTGAGAGCACAAGGCCCTGAGTTCAAGCCTCAGTAATGGCACAAAAGAAAAAACAAAAAATATGGAGAACCCCCTTTCTGCCCCATAGAGTTCCAGCCTCAGGAGCCTTACCAGTCACACTGTAGGTCACTTCCCCAGCATAGTGCAGAAGGCGGAATTCTCCTCGCTCCAGTGATTTCCTGGTCCGCTGGTCAGCCAGCTTGTGCCTGAGGTGACAAGGGCAGGAAGCTGGAGACTGTTGCTCTAAGGCATGCTGAAGAAAACTGAAGAGCTGTCTAGTAAAGATCAAGCAAGCCCTTGGGCTGTTATATAACCCACATGCCATGGGGGCAAGGCTATATCTCCTTGCGTAGTGATTGCAAGGCTCAGGGAGGTTGACAGCCATACCCAGGTCACACAGCACCAGGACCTAAAAGTAGAAGACTGCTCTCATTTCATGTGTCTGCCGCATGACTCTGCTCAGAGGGTGGTGAGCTGTACACTACATTTTCAGAATGGAATCTGTCTCAGGAGATTACCTAAATCTTAAGCATATTTATATCCTTTAGCCCATTTTTTTTTTTTTTTTTTTACTTTTAAGAACTATTCTAAGCTGGGCACCAGTGGTTCGTGCCTGTAATCTTTTTCTTTTTTTTGTCGGTCGTGGGGCTTGAACTCTGGGCTTGGGCGCTGTCCCTGCACTCTTCAGCTCAAGGCAAGCACTCTACCCCCTTGAGCCACAGCACCACTTCCGGTTTTCTAGTGGTTTATTGGAGATAAGAGTCTCACGGACTTTCCTGCCCGGGCTGGCTTTGAACTGCGATCCTCAGATCTCAGCTTCCTGAGTAAACTAGGATTACAGGCGTGAGCCACCGGCACCCGGCTTCGTGCCTGTAATCTTAACTACTTAGGAGGTTGAAATCTGAGGATCATGGTTTGAATCCAGCTGGGGCAGGAAAGGCTGTGAGACTCTTATCTGCAATTAACCACCAAAAAACAAAAAAGCCGGAAGTGGAGTGGTGCCTCAAGTGGAAGACAATTAGCTCTGAGCACAAAAGCTCAGGGGCAGTGCTCAAGTCCAGAGCTCAGGCCCCAGGACCAGCACAAACACTTTTCTAAACTACTAATCAGAGATATAGGCAAGATTTAAGGCACAAAGATGTCTGTGGCTTGTTATTGTTCTTGTTTTCTTGTTCATGAGGTATTGGGTTTGATCCCCAGTACCACAAAAACAAAATCTGGAGGTGGGCCAGGTGCCCCACAGGCTGGGTTAGAGCAGTAAAAGAGTTTTGAGAAAAACTGTCTATTTGATGATGCAGGAAAATGCTCAGGATATAGCATTTTCCTGAGCTTTACACACACTAAGCTGTATACACAATATGGAAAAAAATGTATAGAAAAAGGAAGGAAATGCCTGGAATTGCTGACAATGATGACCTCTTAGTGACAGGGTTCCAGAAGGCTTCTGCACACATTCCAATGTTTCTCTAATGAGAAATATATTTTTATATTCAGAAGCAAGCTTTTAATATGCTACTAAGCAAACAATGCTCAGGGCTTTGGCATTCAACAGCCTTGGGACTAACTCCCAGCCCTGCAATCTAGATAACCTTGGATGACTTCACTTTTCCCAGTTCTAGTAAAATGAAGAAAACATCAAGACACCAGATACAGGTACTTGCTTTTGTTTCCACCCCTCCCACTTCAGGACTATTACTTAAATTAAAAAAGCAATTTCCAAATAGGAAAATCTTAGCCGGGTGCTGGTAGCTCTCTAACTCAGAAGGCTGACATTTGAGGATCATGGTTCAAAGCCAGCCCAGGCAAGAAAGCCTGTGAGACTCTTATCTCCAATTAACGCCCAGAAAACTGGAAGTGGTGCTGTGGGTCAAAGTGATAAAATGCTAGCCTTGAACAAAAGAGCTCAGGGACAGTACCAAGGCACCGACAATACGTACATACATAAATCTCATGCTCCAGGGGCACGGTGGCTTGCTTCAATCGTCCCTTACTTAGCACATTCCCTGTTACCTTGTGGCTATCGGCTTTTTTGTTTGTTTTGCTTTTTTTTTTTTTTTTTTTTGGTCCGGTTGTGGGGTCTGAACTCTGGGCCTGAGCACTGTCCCTCAGCCCTTCAGCTCAAGGCTAGTGCTCTACCACTTGAGCCACAGCGCCACTTCCGGCTTTTTTGTTTTTGCTTATGTGGTGCTGAG